AAGGAATTATTAAGTATTATTTATGAATAATAATTATTAGAGAACTGGTTGGTTAGAACCAGTTAGTTTCCTTTATTTCATTACTCAACTAAATTACTAAAATTTGAGATGAATCCAGTTATCTGGATAACTAATCTTTCTGATTTCAGTTTATTAGACCACTATCTGGTTGATACATTTTCTTTCAAATTATGCTTGTTATTCTTTCCTACTTGTTTTTAGACTTCGTCATAGAATCCCTGCTATGGTTAGGACTACCCTCGTATTATTGTGTTGCATTTATAGGACTGTAGGGACTTTATGCTGAGTTTAACCTGCTAATCTAGCAATAGAGTTTATTGTTTCAAACTCTGCCTTGTGCCTTGGTCTTGTGATCCTGTAGCTTTCAGTAAACTTTGCACTTTCAAACATCTGTTTGCCTCTCAGTGCTGGTGTCCTCACTTCACATTCCTGGCTTTTATTAGAATTGTTAATAGTGACATGCTTGCCTTGATAGGACTGAAATGTATCAATTTCCATGCACAACTCAAACATGGCATTGTGAAAAATTATAGTAAAAAATGAATGGTAGCCTCTGGTGTGTCTGTGGTTTCAATTCTGTGAAACTCATTTTTCCCAGGAGCTCATAATTTACTTCAGCTTGTAATAAAATCATTAAAACTGATATCTTGTGTGAAATGATTAATATGTTTGATAAGTAGCCACATAATGAGAAGGATAATGCAGCTTCAAATTGCTAGTGATCACAGATAAAGCCCTTGGCTCATGCTGTTGCGTGGTCAGGTGCTCTCAAAGGACTTGGACAAATGCATTCTGTAAAATACAGTAATATATTTAGGATCCCCAAAGAGTGTGGATGAAAGCGCTGAAGAAACAGAGGACATTTAGCATTTACAGACTGTACACACTTTTTAATGCTAAAACAAGTGATGATGACCTGATCATGACTTTTCATAGCTGTATGTAAAGTCCATTTGTTGTCACTTTTGTAGTCTGTAGTTTATAAAGAAAAATAGATCCACAGCTCAATACGTCCTCATCGGGGTGTAGTCACACTGCCTTGTTTTATCCACACGTGATTTCTTTGAGCAGAGATGTAGGCCAGAAATGATCAGATAACAGTTATAGACCAAAACAAGTCAAGACAAGCCTAGTGCAGACACACCACAGACAGAGCCTGTGGGGCACCGTGTCAGAAACAGAAACCTCTGACACATGACTCTTTGTCCATAATTGGCTCTCAACCCTGTATTTCATGAAGTTCCACAATACACAGCAACAATTTTGGGGTACAGAGGCACAGCTAAGTTCTCTGCCCTATAACATATGTTGTTGGGTAACTTTTATATAGCCCCTCAGGACTGTGTGCTCAGCCCCCTCCTGTTTACGCTGTACACCCATGACAGCATCCCCCGACATAGAGACAACTTTGCTGTAAAGTTTGCAAATGACACCACCATCATTGGCCAGATTTTAAACAATGATGATACTGGGGAGAAAATCAGCAGTCTTACAGAGTGGTGAACAGACAACAACCTACTGCTCAACGTCAGCAGTAGAAAGCACTGTGACTGCAAACATCACAGACTGACATTGGATGTGC